AGAGCAATTATATAGTTATACATGAAATGCCTTCTGAGTCACACAGCCAGAGTCTTCTCTTTCTCTTAGTATCTAGTGCTACTGTAACAGAAATACCACAAGTGGATGGCTTTAACAAATGAAAATTTATTTTCTCAGAGTTTAGGAGGCTAGAAGTCTGACCTGAAGGTACAGACTCTAGGGGAATGACCCTGTCAACTTTCAACATCTGTGGGCCCAGCATTCCTTGGAGATCTCCATGTGTCTTAACATCAATCTCCCCCTGGGTCAAGGAGGTTCTAGGTACAGGAACCTTGGGTCCAAAGGGCATGCTCTGCTCCCAGGCTCTTTCTTCTTGGTGGCAGTCAGATTCCTCTCCTCTCTGCTTGCTTCTCTCTTTTTATCTCTTGTATAATAAAATGGATGACTCAAGCAAAGGTGTTACTTGAGTAAGGCTGGTGACTAAAGACACACCCCACACAAATCCTGCCTCATTAACATATAGAGGTTAGGATGTACAACACATCACAAAATAGAGGATAATTATATCAGATCACAAAATGAAGGCCAGCCACCCAATACTGGGAATCATAGCCAAATTGACACATATTTTAGAGGGGGAGACAAAATTCAACCCACGACAACCATCAATAGGAGAATGGATTTCATACAATGAAATACACTCTGTAATCAAAAGGAGCAAATAACTGATAACATTCAAAAGCATGGATGAATCTCAAAAACATATATGCTCTGCAAAATAATGCAGACATGAAAAAGTACACACTGTGTGATTCCACTGACATGATCTCTCTTTAGGTAAGAAAAACAAGATGCAGAGATGTGAATGCAATAGATCCATTTTTAAATCAACATTGTTCCTATTGGCCAAAACCCAAACTGTAACAGACAAGAACTAACTTGTCAAAAGAAAAAAGAGTGTTAGCTCTCTTATCACATGACTTGGAAGATTTGTATGATCTCACTTTAGGTAGGAAAAGCAAGATACAGAGAAGTGTATACAGTAGATCCATTTTTGAAAAATTATGATTAACTCCACACCATATATATTTACCTAAGATTACATGAGCATGAAAACATTATGAAAGGAAACTTTCCAGCTTATTACCATGGAGTGATTTTTAAGTTCTGTCCTACACATTTATGGCTTGTTCGAGTTTTATAATGAGCATGCATTAATTATATGATCAGAAACAATCACAGAGTTGATTTTGTAGTGAAAAAGAATTTTAACTAAAAATACACTTAGCATAACCAATATCACTGAATTGTACATATAAAAATGTTGAACTGGCAAATATTATATATACGTATATACTTACCACAATAAAACATTTTAATATATATATATAAGCTTTGAAAAAAATACTTGGAACATGGGGATGGGTATTTTTTGAAAAAGTTCTTCCAGGTGATTCTAATGGCCAACCAGGGTAGTGAACCACAGGATGACTCAGAAGTCATCTATGCCCTCAACCCCTTGCAATCTGGCTTCTGTTGTCTCAGACTCACCAGTGGCCTAACCACTAACAATAACTTCTTCTGACCCCTCTTCTTCAACCTCTCTACTCTTGGTTTCTAACCTCCTGTATTTATTCATCTTTCAAGGTCCATCCCAAACACCTACACTCCAGGGAGCCTTTTCTCATCTTCCCATGGGTACAAGCCCTTCTTCTTTTGTGTCTCCTGAGCACCTTCTCTCTGCCTTAACTCTGCTGTTCTGTATCAGTCTACCGTCCTTTCCAGTTGGGCATTTATTCATTCACTCCACAAACACTGATTAGGCATTTACTATGTTTAGCTGTATTCCTCATGCCACATGGTAAACTTCTTGGTCAGAATGATTTTTCTTTCTACTTAGAAATAGTTTTAATTCTCCTGGAATCCAGATTTCTGGGTCCATAGAATTGGGGTGGGCCACCCACACCTTTGCCCTGAAGGTGATCTTTTGAACCTGGAGCCTTGCACAGACTTGTCTCCTTTAAGTCAAACAGTAGTCTTGCTAATTACTAAAGACCATTTTGCCTTGTCCATTGCGCTTTTTTGAAGAATTTAGTCAGTTTTAGGAAACAGAAACTTCAGGTTTGACTGGACTGTGTTTTATGGTTAAATTTGATATAAGTACTATTCCCCTACCCTCTTCCATGGCAATGATGACAAGATGGAGTATAAGAATTTTTGAAAGCTCTTTTTTTTTTTGGAACATTTTTTTACTCCTAGTTGAAATGTAAAAGGAGTTCTGGTAGCATAGTGGTTAAAGCATTCGGCTGCTAACCAAAAGGTTGGCAGTTCAAACCTGCCAACTACTCCATAGGAGAAAGATGCAGTCTGCTTCTGTAAAGATTTACAGCCTTGAGAACCCTATGGGGCAGTACTGCTCTGTCCTAAAGGGTCACTGTAAGTGAGAATCAACTCAATGGCAATGGGTTTTAATTGAAATGTGGAGCCCCGGTGTGCAGTGGTTAAAGCACTTGACTGTGAATTGAAAGGTCAGCAGTTCCAACCCACCAGCAGCTCCATGGCAGAAAAGACCTGGTGATATCCTTCCAAAAAGACTTACAGTCTAGGAAACACTATATGGCAGTTCTACTCTATCCTATAAGGACCTCTGGTAGTACAGTGTTTAAAGCACTGGGCTGCTAACCAAAACGTCGGTGATTCAAACCCACCAGACCCTCCACATGGAAGAAAGATGAGGTAGTCTGCTTTCGTAAAGATTTATAAGCTTGCAAACTCTATAGGGGTCACTATGAGTTGGAATCAATTAGATGGAAGTAAGTTTGGTTATTTTTTGGACTCTGTCCTGTGGGGTTGCTGTGAGTCAGAATTGACTTATTGGCACACAACAACAGTCAAAATGTTACTCTAATTTGCAAACCGCTTATTAAATAAACTTCCATCAATAGCTATATTAGGCTTAATATGAATTGTGTTTTAACAATATTCTCTGCAGCATCTAGCATGGTGTCTTGCATATAACAGACATTGTAACTTTGTTAAATTTTCTATATATGATGTTTTCCATTTCTATCTTATGTCTGTTCTCTTTATCCTACCTAATTTGTTGTGTAATTAGTAAACAAAAAAGTTTCATTCCATTTTTTTTTTTCTGGGAATTGTGTGTAAAGGAATATGAATGGAACTGTCAGAAACCCCCAAAATAAAAAAAGAACCGTATATTGTACTAAAGGAAACTCCAGCCCACAAGAAGAAAGAAGACAAAAGTATGAATATCTTAAGCAAAAAAAAAAAAAAAAGTTAGGGATAAATGTCTAAGAGATGTGCTGATAGAATATTCTGGAAGATTATCTTCCGGGGGATTAGGGACTATTTCATGGAGGAGATAGTTTCTGAATGGGGCTTTAAAAGACTCACAACATTTGGATGAGGAGACAGTGAGGGTAAGAGAATTCTTAGGGGAGAGAAAGCATTGTTTGAAATTAGAAAGTATGGCAGGAGTCTGGATAATAACATGGGAACATCAGCTCAATTACAGAGAGTGTGAGCTGCCATGTTGGGGGGATGCAGGATGAGGACATATGGCAGAAGGCCTTAAAGACCAGAAAAGGTGGTGAGCACTGTGACTCTACAGGAAACTTAAGATTATTAAGCAACAGAATAACAATATTTAAAAAATTAAAGAATTATTAAGAAAGATGAAGAGAATTTTAGTAAATGCCTGAGGAGTTTTCTATTTGAGTTCTACTCAAGGGCTTTTTCAGGACTTTTTAAAGAAATATGGCAGGCTTCTTTGCTTGCATCCTGCTGGAGCCTATAAGATGAAGTTGTCATGAAACTGAGTGCCCTGTTAGTGAGATTTACTACGCTTCTAAAAAGTTCTTTCCTTTGCTTTGTGCCACAGAGAGACATTTGTTATTGAGAAGTCCATGTTCAGAGATGGTATAGATCCACAACCTCTTAGCCACAATTCTGAGATCAGAAAAGCTCTGAAAACCAAAAGTCTTTTGGGGTGAAAATTTACAGAGCAAGTTCATTTTCCATACAGCAGTTCATACACATTTTGTTTCATGACATTAATGCAATTCCCCACAATGTAACAGCTCTCTTCCCACTTTCTCCCTATAGTTACCTCTTCCCTGTGCCCTTCCCTCCCATGTACTCCCATGCCCCACCCCCACCCTCCAACTATCTCCCTGTGAAAACACTGCCCTTCTGTTCTCCCACACTCCAAGGAGTGTATCTACCTGATGTAAATGTTCAGCCCATACGCCTATCTATTATTTGGCTGGAAGCCACAGGAATGAATTCAATTCCACACCTGAAGGGCAGCTAGGGGCCATAGTCTCGGGCATCTCATCAGGCTCTATCAGAACAGCAAACCTGGT